AAACATGGTCCAAAGAATTGAAACATGGTCCAAACCACTGAAACATGGTCCAAACCACTGAAACATGGTCCAAACCACTGAAACATGGTCCAAAGAATTGAAACATGGTCCAAAGAATTAAAACATGGGCTAAAACACTGAAACATGGTCCAAAGAATTGAAACATGGTCCAAAGAATTAAAACATGGGCTAAAACACTGAAACATGGTCCAAAGAATTGAAACATGGTCCAAAGAATTGAAACATGGTCCAAAGAATTGAAACATGGTCCAAACCACTGAAACATGGTCCAAACCACTGAAACATGGTCCAAAGAATTGAAACATTGTCCAAACCACTGAAACATGGTCCAAACCACTGAAACATGGTCCAAAGAATTAAAACATGGTCCAAAGAATTGAAACATGGTCCAAAGAATTGAAACATGATTCAAAGAATAATTATACACAGCCTAACTCATAAGAATATATCTCTATAAATTCTTATATGCATGCATACTCTCAATGTGATTTACCTACCTGTGTGGTGACATTATATCGAATAAAATGCTGTAACAATTCTTTATCATGATATGCAAGTACATTCTCTACCATTGATAGGACATTAATCGGTGGATTTGGGAAAAATTCAAACCAATGTTGACACCAATTTACTACAATAAAACACAAAACATATATTAATAAATAGAAATAAGCTGTACATCAATTAACACTAAGCAGTTTATGTATTATGAACCTCAACTGCACATATTTTGATCAATTTCCAATTCAAAATGGCTGCCAAACTAGGGTTTAACACTACGGGAAATCAGGAATCAATTTTAGATAGATAAATAGTTTTTAGTTTGCCATAACGTATTTAAAACAATTTGAGGCTACATAATTACATGAGACACATTTGAATGTTAGTGGCAGTACACTTACACAGTATAGTAGCAATAACTTCAAAGCAGACAAGCTGATTATTTTGAAATAGCTTGATAAAAGGAAAACCCAACAGGGGGAGATAATCCGTCTCGCCAAAGATGGCCGACCAGTGAGCAAGACCAGAAAGAGTCCTGTAATTAAAACACAAACATTTATTATTAATAAAATCCAATCATGCTTTAGATCTTCTTTATGTATTGTATTATGTATGTAATTCTATCAGGTGTGCTTCTAATAGAGGAATATAATATTATGATTTCATAATTTTGTTATGATTTTGATTTCAGTTTGAAATTGGCAATACTCATCCACAAGTCCCACCATATTTGATGGGGTAGCTCAAAAACTGTACTATAATTCACTGAGTTTGTATGTAGCACCCTTGTAGGATTCAATAATTCACTATCATTATCGCTCAAAATATGACTTCATTTTGAATCCAGATTCCATAAATCCCATTTGAAAATGGTTGTATGCAGGAGCACAAACTTATCGAATTGAAAGTGTCGAAGTTAAAACAAACACTGCTATCAATGTCCCTATGAATAATATAATGTTGCAAGGGTTATTGACAGGCAGATAGCGGCTTTCATAATCAGCTTATTTTGGTGCTTGCTGTATTAGGATAGTGTTCCTGCATATTATGTGAATACCTTTATCAATAAGACTGAATACATACCGTTGAAGTACGCGCAGCAGTTTTCTACTCTTAATTGGATACTGTTCATGTACGTTTGCCCAGGCTATGTGAGTACCTTTATCAGTGAGACTACTGTATGCTGCATGGTTTTCAGGAAGCCTTAACAGAGATCTCCAAATAAACATCCTACAAGAACAAAAGTGTTCAACAATTATTTTACAATGACCTCTAATTGATTTCTTATAGGTCTTAATGGTTACTTGATTGTCACTACTCTATCAGTTTTCCAATAACCTGCAGAGAAAAAGGATGGTAACAACATTTATTTCTGTTTCAATGCTTTCCAAATGAGTTTGATCTGTGTCCTGTGATACTATTGGTCAGAACAAGATCTAATGATGCAGATGTAGATAAATACATTAAAGTTATATACTGCACATTGTATGTAAGAATTATAATGAAAATAAATAAGTCAAGTATAAAAGGAATCCATTACCTATATTTGGATGGGTATTCACCGTAACCTTTCAGTATTGATATAAGTCTATCCATATTGAGACCTTCAGGCAACTCGCAAGTCTGTAGAGAGTTAAGCAATAATGATGTACAAGTCTCCCACGTAAGATCATGTCATACTGTAAAATACTTTATTTTCGCTGAAGGAATGATTCAATGAAAATAAAATCCAGTGAATATACGTTTATTTCTATAGTTTACATTCAACTCGTCAAAAATCAGTGAAAATAAATTCCGTACAAAACACCCAAAATGTCTTTTCAGCGAAAATTAATTTCAGCTAAAATAAAGTATTTTACAGTAAACAATTTGATTTTGATTTGAAAATCCCTACAAATCTACTACAGTTAAACTAGTGTCCTAATGTTGGGTCTCTTGACTATAGTAGTTAATATTGAGAATGAATAATAAATAAATTTATCACCTCATCTTCAAATGTTGGGGTTCTGACTTTCATGCCCGGTTCAATCATTCGTGTTTTTTTTTTGTCTTTTGTTGTCACAGTTACAGTATCTTTAGGTGTGACTGATCGCAACATTCGGGATCTTGACAAATCCGCTGACTTATCTTTACAGGACATGGCTTTCACCAATGGTGGGGGAGGCTGAAATGAGACAAGAAGTTAAAACAACGTACAAAAAAAACATAAAGTTTGGTCAACTGTTAATTGAACATTGAGTTATAATTTGGACGTGATTTTGCAAAAGTGGGTGGTTTTAAAAATATGGGCAAGGCAAATTTATGCAATTTTTTGTAATATCCACCAATTTAGTCAAAGTGGACAAATTTGATTCAGTGTTCTCCCCTGGGCATTAAGGATTCCCAACTATTTAATTTTGAATAAACAAAAAATAACAGCATAACAATGAATAAAATAGAGGTGATTAACATAGCACATTGTTATGCAAATTAGCTGATACTCTTTGCTATTTCTCTGGGGAGAACAGGGCGATGACCGGATTAAAAAACTATAAGAAGAAATCAAAATAATATTATGCAATATATGCGATTCAAGAAATCTTGGGAAATTTGAACAATGCATATGTGGCCAGATGAATTGATGAAGGACTTTAAATGCCATTTATTAATTACCTTATTCAGTTCAGCAGTCAGGGCTTGTGCACTGTATATATTCGTTTTTCCACTCTCAGTGACGGCTACGATAAATCTACCATGTGAGCTCACAGTTACGTGATGTATCCTATCATCTAGTGTACCGATGTCAAACAGTAGCTTACAGGTATTCACATTGACGAATCTCATGATGCCATCTTGACTGAGTACACCGACAACCTGGAAAGTAGTAATTAATAGTCAGTAAGATGTTATTTAAATTCAAGGACAGCTATATAACACCAGCATGCAGTACAAATATTGTGAATAAATATGCCTTGGAAATATTTTTCTAAAAAATGAAGAAATATCAAAAATATACTGAAAAAAAACTCTGTCAAAGGTACAGATATGATTAATATGGTCAATTATCAATGCAATATATCCTCACTAAAACCCACCATTCATAGTTTTCATACTTTGTACAAAATTTTAAATGGCAAGCATAAAAATCGCAGTAAGAGAACAACACTAAACATGGACATATATAATACAACATACAAAGTGGAACCAGACTTTCTCGCGCTAACATTTTTTAAATATTTTTACAATATTTCGGGAAATGAGCCCTAACTTTGAAGCCAACAGACAAACTTTGAGTCAATTTTCAGTTTTTACTCAAACAACTCAATTTTTGTCCCAATCTTCCAAAGTCAACCAAAGTGCACGGGACTACCCAGTATTTTGTGAATTTGTGAAAAGAGGGAACTGGCGGCTTCTTTGTTTGAGGGGAGGGGAGAGTCAGCAGCAGTTACATCATTTTTTTAATTATTTACTACCTCTGAAATAATGATTGGTTGTATTATATACTAGAACACAATCCATCAAAAAACACTAAACATACATCCACTGCAATCAACTTGACGACAGACATCATGTGCTGCACTCTATGCAATTCCATCTTACCTGACTTGATCCACCATCAAAGCTTTCTGGTAAAAACTCCAATTGTTTGACAACTTTGACTTTATTTGGTAACTCTATTATCCTAAGTAGTCTTCTAGTGTCTAAAGCCCATATGTGTATGAATCGTGATTTTCCACCGGCCACCAACAATCTACCATCTCTGCAGAAATAAAATTAAGAGAACGCTGGAATCAAAATCAAACCTACTTTTCTTTAGACTACATAGTAAATATCGTTAATTCAGTTCACGAAAAATCTTATCCAATGGAATAATGAAAAAGAATTTAGAAGGATGTTCTAAATGTTTACAGTACCGGTATATTTGTTTACAGTATGACACTTACTTTGGAGTTGCAAACGATTTATACGCTGGTTTTTGTCCTGCTGGTATAGTCAGCTGATATTTACACTGTAATGTGTCTGATTCCCAAGCAAAGATAGAATCATCTTTAAAGCATGTCATGATGGTATTACTTAAAGGTAAGAAAAACACCTAGAGAAATTAACAAAAAAAAACTTGATTGACTGTCACTTGTAAAGAGAAAGTCAATAAAAGTGTACAGTGTAATAACCATGGAAACAAGTGATAGGTAGAAATGATTCAAAACAAATATAAACATAATATTGTGTAAATTTTTAATTGCTACATAGATATTTTGAACAGTTACTTAGAAAAATTATTACCAAATATTGCTAACTATTTATTATATACTTAATTGCTGGGTTTTATTTTCTTGCTTGTACAAATGTATATTAAAACTGTGTTGTATGCGTTGTTTTCTTCACAAACCAGTGAATTTGAATCCTAGTAAATATCTTTTGTGAAATAAAAACTGCTAAAATGAAACCCAGTGAGTGCTGTAGGGGTTTAGGAATGAGACCCAGATACGTAGCATAATTTTGAACAATTTTTTTTGTCTATTTTCAAATGTTGCAAAAGTGTCTTCACACTAGTAAAACAAAATAGTTGAACTTGTGCTGAGAAAGGTACTAAATACTGATAGAAATGCAATTGTGAACAGCTACGCGTGTCCATGTTTTTCTTCCAACTTAAAGGAACTGAATAAAGCCTAATTTGGTGTTTGTATTTATCAAGTTATGTATATTGATTATAAATTTGAAAAAAAAAAAAAAATGATTATCTTCAGAGTTATAATTTAAATATGAGAAACAATCAACCTGCGAAGGACTTCCGTTTGCGCCATCTTGCCATAAAAAACGCCCTCATGAGGTATAAACGAGAAAGGTAACAAAGCATGATGACGAAATAGTATCTGATTAAATATAAACAACTTAGGGAGCCATAGTTGGCTGGACTGGTGAATTGACTTCCAGTCTAGGTTATTTCGACTTTTTCGTTAACGTTATCTTACAAGCGTATCAACATACATACATTATGGGTGTGCGATTGATCGAGACAGGCATTTTTTTTTTCTAACTGTCTAATGAATGCTGTTTCTAGTACTGCACTGTGCGTGCAAATTATTTTAAAGTCTGGATGCTGAAGTATGCAATCTTGAGTTCGTAGGGTGGTGGTGGAAACATTTTCGTCCATGTATTCACAGGGCTGCACTGGCAAATCATGGGACAATTGTCACTCTCATCACTCACACTGGACTGAACTGAATCTTCACAGTATACCGTACTTCCCTGATCATAAGCCTGGAGGCATGAACACGTAAAGGAAAAGTAAAGGATGAGCTTTTACTCGAGGACCAACTCAGAAAAGAGTATTTTGTTTTGGGGTTAGACACTGTAACCATCTTGCTAACAACGAAAAATTATCCAAAAAAATTATTCGTTCACATCACTGGGCTCAGAAAAATAATACTTATTTTTGAAAAAAAAAAATGCGTCATTGATTTCCACGACACTTACAATGAAGAAACAAACATGTTCATAAAAACACACACATTTTATTACAATACGATTTACATACCGTCTGAATTAATGAAATAATAGGTAGGGTCTGTGGAGAAACAGTCTAAGACATTTATCATTATTTTCGTTTTGGTATGTTTTCGATCATAGGCAAACTCTTGACGCAAAGCAATTTTCCACCATGAGGTTTTTCAGCACGATTTGACCTGAAACAACTTTCTTTGACCTAACAGGTCATGTCTTTCATTAACCAATCAAAATGATGTGTCGTAATGATGAAATTTTCTGATTATTGACGATGATTTTTTAACGCAATGCGGAAGGGAATTACCGCAATGTTAAAATGCCATCTGTAGCACTAATTGCAATGAAAAAACGATGATTGCCTCCCCTCAAAACAGGTGATTCGCAATTTCCGAAAAGTAAATGACGGTTAATAGTAAGCATGGGTAAACTGAGTGTGGAGGAAGAATTTAAACACCTTTCACGGTCACCAACATGTCACATCATTCAAACCCAAGGCCTTTCATGATAGTTTCAAAGTAAACCATGCCAAATAACCAGGTACACGACTTAACGAGCACATTTTTGTCTTTTCGAAAGCTACGACCCAAAGATATATGGATTACTCCAGTATTGCTACATCGGGGTTCATCCTGAGTAAATGACAGAATAGAAAGGATGCGAACGTTGTGTACGTTCGCCATACACTTTGAAATTAATGCGAGTTTTCTCATAAAAGCACGAACCAAACTACATGTACCATGCCAATCACGATTATTATGAAATGAGACACACTTTTTACACGCATATTTTAAAGAATATCGTCAACGCCCAGTAAAAACACCCTGGGCTTATAATCAGGAATGCCCTCAACTCGATAAATACCTAGTGAAAATAGAAGGATGGGCTTCATACTCGGGAGGGGCTTACGATCGGGGAAGTACGGTACTTTAACGCAATTGGGCTTCCACTCTCAGAATACTGTGGTTCAAACACATAATGCTCTAACCCAAGTTTTAAAAAGCACATTGTGCATATAAAAATCGAGTTTATACTAATAGTACACAATGCTTGGCAGCATGAACGGCTATGTACAATGGCGTATACGAATGCAATCAGATACTAAAACGTCATAGCTTTGAAAAGTACCCGGATGTTAAATATGTTCGTTCGTTATTTACTCCCCTCCATGAATGGCCTCCATGGTGTTTAATTGCAAGCACTTCAAATGCCTATCCAAGCTACAGTTATTATTAAAACAAAATTAAACCACTGCAATATTATTTCGAATACAGTTTAGAATATACACAACTATACTATAAATTAAGGCTGCATTTAGGTTTGCTTTAACATATTCATATTATCAAAAAAAATTGTATCTGGTTGGTGAGCGTAGGAATTTTAATTTTTCAATGTTTCAATGATCATTGTATACAAGAATACCTGTAGAGAAATATATTGAATGACTCATATTTATCTTTCATTGGTGACAAGAATATTCAGCTTTCAAGGATTTTCATGCAGATGATGGCATCCAAGTTGAAAAACTGGACTGTGTGGGTCACATTCAAAAAAGAATGGGTACCAGCCTGTAGAAGCAATTTCTATTTGGTTTTTTAAAACAATAAAACAGGATTAGCTGTTTTTTAATCCAGCCTATTTTGCTGATAGCAGTATTTTTGCTACTAAATTAAAACCAAGTGAATAATCAAGTTTAACAAATTATACAATATATTGTTTCCTTCAAAACCCAGTGAACCTAGTGAATATCCCTGATACATCAAATCTGCTGGATTTAAACGCGATGAGTAGATGTGTTATAATTATATAGATTACTTCTACTGCAATTTATCGGTATCCCCACTGAAATGATATTGACAATCAAGTCACGTACCTTCAGAATTCCCACTGATTGGCGAACATTTAATTTTCTCTTCCGTTCAAACGTATCTAGATCCCATAGTTGGGCTATATCATTGGATGTTGTAAGAGCATAACGACCAGAGGCATGGATAGATATTGTGTGGATTGGAGTGGTATGACCTTTCATCCAGCTCACCAACTCCCTGGTGTCTAGAAAGAAATTATATATACATGTACTGTATACAAAATGTTTGCGAATGAAGAAAACCAGTTATAGAAATCTAATACATATTTCGACGATGCATAAACAACAATTAACTACACTTTTACATGCTGGTAGCATATTGATGTTAAAATGAAATTGACTCCATAGGATAAATATTTTATTAAATACGCATGTACTTACCTGTATCGTAACATTTCAGTGAACAATCTGAGAGAGCGACTAGAAACTCTGTTCGTCTTCGCAGCGTGAATGCAAGTGCTGTACATGCTGTACCAGTTTTCTGAACAAGCTGAAATCTATTCGGGTTAACAGAAATGACAAAGTCAAAAGAGCTTAAAAACTTTATATGATGTACAACTTTATTAGTTCTTGAAAACATGGATTTATGGATTTAAAGACTGCTACCATTAAAAAACATACTCAGAAATCCTTGAAATCCAGCAAAAGGGGTTGGGTTACTGTATTGTTCAAAAGTCTGAAATGAATATACCTGGCCACCAAACTAAGTTTTCTACAAAACATCCACGAAAATTGATCAAAAATGTTTTGAGTAGTGGCTTGTATGGCAGAAACATTCCATTGTATCTCAAAATTGTGTTCGATGACCTATACTAAAAAAAATTGATATGTAGTGTTATGATGGCTGCATATGGCTATCACGAAAATTGAATACTAGTAAAAGTTATTCATGGAATAAGGAAATGTTTTGCATTTTGTTTTTTGAAAAAACACCTCCCTTTTTTTACTCCATGAAAGATTTAAATATGAATGACTTGCAGGTACCAGCATGTGAATCATTATACAACAATTTTTGATAATTTACTGGGTTTTTATGGTAGCGAATTACCTTAATTAATATTAATATAGTCTACATGTAGATATTAAATAATATCTCACCTGTTTCTAAGAAGATCAAATACGTAGATGTTGCCTTGGTGGTCTCCAGCAACAAATCGATCTCCTGTGCTGTCAAAAGCTGCGTGTAAAAACCTAACATAGCGATTTTGAAGAGAAAATGCACTTGAAGTGTCATGTTGGATTTCTACCATTAACCTGAAATGAAGAAAATTGTTTTGTTTTTTAGTATACTCTCTAAAGTTACTGTTGCATATTAAGTTAACAGGTTTCAAGTACATGTAGACACAAAAGTAAATGGGCATGATCTGAACTTGGACCCATATCTGAACTGACACATTAGAAAACAGAATGCTGAATAAAAAAAAATTCCCAGAAAAATAACAGTTTATATGATATGAGCAAGTAGTTGTACAGTCATCAAGCAGTTGAAACCCATAACCTCACTGCCTAATAGTAATACCAAAGTGTGTTGGCCATGTTGGATGGCGAAGAAATATTTCTGCAAAAATGACACATGTAATATCTATATGTTTGAAATATTACAGCACTGCAGTGTAATTGAAAGGCATTTATATTCTCATATAAGAATGCCACAAGAAATATACCGAATCTAAGAGACCTTCTGTATATTTAATACATGATATACAAGAACACGAAAAACAAGAGAATTAATCAATTATGTCAATAATCCAGACAGCTTGGCTGTCATTATTACTGCCAACAGTTTTAATAACACAGCAACAAAAAAAGCAAACACTCACCCATTGTCACCTGAAGGAATCGGCTTACGATGCCATATTTTGCCGGAATCTTTCTTATTAACGTCGAGCGACTGCATTTTCTCAGACCAAATACCGACGACTGTCGCAAAACAAAGCTGTGATCAAAACAGTACAGATCAGGACTTGTTTCAAACGTGTCAATTTTGAAGTTGGTCGTTCAATCTGAGTCGTGGAAGTGTTGAGCTTAATCTGCGGACATAAGAAGCGTATGAATAATTAGGTGTGCTGTTGCCATGCATAAATCGTCGGGTCGAGTTAGTTATTTGAAGAAAAAAAACTTACTTTCAAGCATGTAACTTTATTTACGTACCTCGGCATAAACTTCCGTTTCAAAATGCCGCCAGGGTCACACAGATGCACGACGGGAAAGGTCACAAATTCGAAAACGAGGCCAACCATAAGAAAAGCAGATGTACTGTTATATCGTCGAAATTTTAATTTGATGACGTTAAATATTGTCCTGAAAAAACTAGGTTGCTCTGAAAGATTCGGAAAAGCATTGTTCTCGTTATTTTTTTTTTCTAAATCGCAAACCCTAATAATAACGACCCCGGAAATGAGGCTAACCGGAAGTTAACATTAGTTTCTGCGTCTTTGTGCCACGTCAGGTTTAGGCTTGAACAATTTGTGGTTTCTGTAATATTGCGTAGGTTTGACACAGAGTTATAGCCGCTAAAGCAAAGCTACAGTAAAGGGCTTTCGGTGGGAATCAGTCCCAATCCTAAATAATCACCATGTCGAACGATATTGGCGATTGGTACCGCGGGATACCGCAGATGACACGGTACTGGTTCTCCGGCTCTGTTGTTCTTCCGCTCCTGGCTAAGTTTGGACTTTTAAATCCCATGTACCTAATTCTCAATTTTCATTTTGTTGTCTACAATTTCCAGGTAAATATAAATTTTATTATTTACGTGCATGATTTGAGTTTATATTGCGAAATGTATGTCACGTGATGTTTATCCAGCGATATATGGACTGTGCCGTGCAAATTATATTACCATTTGATAGAGAGAGTGTTGTGCCATGGAGCTATAATGAGAATCTGTAGCTTTATGGTTATGCTGAATCATGCTATAATAATCATGGCTGCCTGAATGCAATCATGTCCGAGGCATACTGCATAGTGTTTATGTCGTATAGTACTAGTATTTAACATTCCTTTGTAATAATATCCATTAATTGTTAGTTATTCAGATATTGTCTTTTTATTATCATTACGAGGCAGAGCTCCAGAAGGAGTACCTACACTTTATGCAAATTTTTTAAAATTATGCTAATTTATTCATGACGTAGCAGTTTCTGTGCTCATGAATATTCATTAATTTGTGGCTCAATACATTTTAAAAGGGGCGATATATTATTTTTGGGGGAAGAGTTAGAAAGGGGGATTAGCAATCCTTAGGGGGTCAATACAAAAGAAGGGACCCATTTGGAGAGCAGCCATGCTCCTCGTGTCTGTTGTTACACGTGACCTACAGCTGTCAACTGTGTTCGTTCTTCGACGACTTCGACTGGCTTCCATGTGGGGTAGTATTCTTGTGTTCTGTTTTCCTGACTTGAGTTTTTGAATCCGCTGTTTATGTTTTTAACGTCTTTCATGTCTTTTGTAGGATTGTCCAATCCGTGATTCGAACTTGCGATCTTTGAGTTCCCAGCGCACTGTCTTGTCCACTGTACCACGAGTGTCTTCACACAGGAGTTAGGATTTAAGTCCTATTCATAGGAGCACTGTCTTCACTAGCATTCAAAAATCTAACTAAACATACTGGATTCGAACCAGCGATCGCTCACATTGCTGACATAGTACAAATCAACTGAGCTATGTGGGTGGTCATGCAAATTAAATAATTTGTTGTCATATTTAGCTTTATTGCCAAATGGTGTTTGCGAGAAAAAGATGGGCAGGCAAGGGAATTGAACCCAGGTCCTCCTGATCACTATGTAAAGAACTGACCCACAAGACCACAATGGATTAACTGGATGTGTTTGCAT